TACTACATAAATGCCTGGCATTTATACTTTTCCACAAGTGTCTGCTTTTGACCACTGAGTTTTGAGCGCTCCTTTGATATGATAAAGTAAAGCCTTCTACTCCTCCAACAGTGACTACTTTAAAGTAACCAGAGTGACAAAAAAGGGAAAGCTCTGGAAGCTTGGTTCTACTTCATACTGCACATTATGTTTTTCTTACCCAGATCTTTGCTCTTTATTCCTATTTTCTATCCAAAACTTCACGGACCATCATTCTCCGCAAGGTCTGGTTCCAAAACCAGGCCAAAAGAAGGTTACCTCAATATGATTTCCCCACTCACATTTCTGCCCCTTGAATTCATCTTTCCTACTTCTTCCTTGCATTAGCCCTCACTTGACCATGTTGAGCTGGTTCATGGAATGACTTTGAAAACCTGTCCTGTTTTGGCCGGTCTGAGCTGGTTTAAGGGAAAAAAGAATTCACTGAACACTGATGCCAGTACAACTAAGAGAGTGAAGACAGCCAGAAAGTTGTGGCCAATGGTTCTATATCCAAGTGGAGGCTGGTGACAAGTGATGTCCCTCAGTGCTGTCTTGGGAGTGGTGCTCTTCAGCATCTTTACCAATAACACAGACGTTGTTAACCAATAAGAGTTTCCTTTCTGTACTTTTCCACGTATCTGTCTATAAGACAGAGCTGAAGCAATAAACTAAGAATTCTCGTGTCGTGACTCCCATGAGAGTCCATGGTCGTTCCTTCAAGCCGTTCCCAATCGGAACGACACAGGCCAGACACAACCTGTCACTTGAAGCCCAGAAAGCCAATTGACAGGCCAGACACAACCTGTCACTTGAAGCCCAGAAAGCCAATTGTGCCCACCTGGGCTGCATCCAAAGCAGTGTGACCAGCTGGGCAAGGGAGGGGATTTTGCTCCTCTGCTCTGAGACCTCACCTGCAGTGCTGCATCCAGCTCTCGGGTCCCCAGCACAGACCTGTTAGAGCAAGTCCACAGAACAGCCATAAAGATCATTAGAGGGCTGGAGCACCTCTCCTACAAAGACATGCTGAGAAAGTTGAGATTGTTAAGCCTGGTAAAGAGAAGGCTTCTCATTTCAGCCTTCCAGTACTTAAAAGGAGTCTATAAAAAAGCAGATAAGAGAGAATTCTGCAAGATTCACGATAGAATGCAAGCCAAGTGTTTCTCACAGGGGTTTGGAGGAGAGGAGAGTAGTGGGTGGGGTTTTTGTTGTTTCAATGAGTTTAAGTGAAAAGTCTGCAGATTAGCAAGATCTAAAACAGGTATGGTCATTCCTGGAAAAAAAACTATTTCAAATATTCCTGATTTTCCACCCATTTGATGTATGCGCAGAAAAACCAGGGTTAGAACAACCCAAATTATGTTAGATGACTGTGTCATTTGGTGATCAGTTGTGTTTATATAAAACCCATCATTTACCAGGTACAAATATACCAGTACCATAAATTCTTTGCTTGGCAACACTTGGAGTTAGCCAGCTGGAAGTTGGAGTAGCCAACTTCCAATAACATTAATTTATCCCTTTCAAGTAAACTGCTGTTGAAAGCCAAATTTCTGTACAACTTGGCCCAATGGTTCATTATTCTGTTATTTATAGTTGTTTACATAAATGGTTATTTTATTATTTTAGAGCTCATTGATATAAAAAACAATGCTTCCTACTATAAGAAGCTGTAGGATTTTTCTTGTTTTGCTCTCTGATAAACATGTTTTCTTCCACATAAACCATGCTGGAGAAAAACATCTCTAAGGTTCATGATATCAGAGACCTCACTACTATGCAAACTCATTATAAATGCCAAGAGTGAGACACACGAGTTATTTAGCTGCAGTCAGAAACCATCAATCTTAATATGCAATCTCAGGAGAGTACAATTATCCGGTTATGGTAGGCAAACATTTTTACAATGTCATAATATTAGTAAATATTCATTTGGGACTACATTACTAATCAGTAGAAATGACAGAACATTATGTGATCATCTGTGAATGTTATCTAGGAAATAAATACTCTTCATCAGCAAAATATTTCTAAGGACTTTTAGCATACAAATACTTTTTCAGAGTAACTTGCAGTTTCTTCCCTGACCAGAAGAAATTTCACATAGGAAGAAGTTTGAATGGTTTGTAGTCGTAGACTAACTGCTGTTGAGAACATTTTGGTACTATCAGACCACCAGAGAGTAGAAGGAATCAGCCATACAACAGAAAACTTGCCTCTCCCCCATCAGGTAATAAGACAAAACCCAACCTAAACAAAGAGGGGAGGTTTTTTTCTTAAATACAATGGATAATTAAGGATTTTGTAGAGGATCTATCACAGGATTTTGTAGAGGGCTAAAAACCAGCACGTGTAGTTCAATAGGGAACTTGATGTTAAGAGACAGTCACATGACTGCAAATGCATTTCAGAGAAATGCACCAGCAATAACAAGGACTAGTTCAACATTAGGATTTGTTTCTCAAGTTACAATGCATGCACCTTACCTCACTCAGTGTGAATATGCACTCACAGCCTAGTTTTAAAAAGCACAAAAGAAGAGATGTGGCCATCCTTTCGAGTAACATTTAGAGTATATGTTACAATTTTAAAATTGTATTTTAAAATATTACTTGTCAGTAAGAGGAAAGAAGTCACAGCAATACCAAATCCATACCTACTGTGAGGAAAACAAGACCCTATGAACACCTCACAAATTCCATTTCCTATTAATTTTCTAATCTGGAAATACAGAACCTACTGATTGGATTATTCAGTTATGCTTGTATTCATAAATATTTGCAGATTTTTTTCATATACCAGGATTTATGCTTGAACTATGGACTTACAAATGCTGAAGGCAAGAAAAGAACTCCAAGTTCATAAGAACGGATCATCAGTTGGCTGCCATTTTTCTCCAGTGCTCCCCAGGCTGCTTTAGATAGATTGGCACTGCAAAGAGAAACAAAGCATATTAGTGGGGCACAATCTTCAGGGCAGAAAACACTTAAATAACAGTGTAGCAACATCCTTCTAGCAGGAGAACTTAAATTCAATCAGAATAGTCTCACAAAAATGACTTGGTTGTTATTCCTTATTGCTATTTTTACAGCACAGTGGGAACAACAGAGACAATATGTAGAAAGGCATTCATACAACACATGTGGATAATTATACAAGCCTATTTCTGTCACACAAATCTACAAGACAAATTCAGCCTTTTGAATCTTCTCTGCACATTTCAGAAAAGGAATTTGGTAATGGTAAATAGCTTCAATTTGATGACATAAGGAAATTAAAGGCTAGTTCAATTATGACTAGTTACAATACATTTAGTACAGAGTGGGTTTGCATTTTACATTTTAGTACAGAGTGTTAAACAGCATCTTTTGCTCTTGGCATTTTGTTCTTTGATCTATTTATGAAAACAAATACTTATTAAAGAGGTTTTTTGTTTTAATTTGCTATTCAGCACCATGCTGTAGTTAATCTTTCATCAGCATCTACTACAAAGTAGACCAATTTGGAAATCAAAAAATATATGCAATTCTGTTGTGAAAACCTACTTCTATAGCACAATACAAAATTTACACACTATGTTTTGAATTGATGGACATAGAGGATGCTGTTTGGTAACAGCAAATGGTGGAACAGAAGAAACAGGAGAAGAAAATAAAGCAACCATTATTTTCTGTATTAGGTGGAGTGAGCATCACATGTAAATGACTTAAAACCTTTTTAAGAACACATTAATCACTACCACTATTGCAGGCAACCATATCAATGAGTGATGAAATTTAAAGAGACCAAATATAAAGAAAAAAAAAATTAAAGTAACTGAGCATTTAAGAGTAAGGACAGATCATAATCTGTAAAATATAGGGTAGCATAAAAATCAGTTTTGGCAAAACTGAAGCATATCTGTATTTTTAATTCACAACAAGACAGACTCAATTCTAGAAATTTCTTGCTTCCTCTGGCTTCTTTAACAACAGAAATATAAAGCTTATACTTCAAGGCAGATTGCTAAACAACTCAACTGACAAAAGATCAGATTCCTAATTCCAAGTATCTGTATGTTTGTTAACAGTAGGGCAGCCCAAGGATAACTTCAGCTAACCCAAACTCTATTTTGTAGAAACCAACACATTCATACCACACACCAGCATAACTTTAAGAAACTTAACCCAAGATCTAAAAATATTAATCATTTTAGTTGGTGCTGAACCCCAAAACTGGCAGTCACAACTCAGACAAGATTTTAGTGTGATTATCAACAGTTCCTGACATAATAATTTCAATCTGCAGCCTCAAAAAGGGCAATGCAATGGAGAAACATTAAATATGGACAAAAATTCCTATCACTAAATGAAGTATTATGAGGGCTATGGAAGTGACTTCCCTGGGCCAGCAGCTAACAAAAAATCCCCCATATATAAAGTTCTTAACTGAGAGCTGTACTGGTTAGATGTTTACCTTGTTACCAGGAACCATGCAATCTTCTGGAAGTCAGGAGAGAGTCTCATGTATGTCTTAATGTGAGGTATAGCGTGAGTTCGACCTGTGACTTCTGCTGACCATTTGCTAGAAAAGCAAAAGGAATTCTTTTCACATATGGTTTTATTTTGAGGTCTAAAAAACACTCACCATGTTACAGTGTCATGATTTCAGGAACACTACTTATATTTGTCACACTCAAAACTTATTTCTCCTAGAGAAAAATCTTAAAATACTACATTTAATTAAACTGTTAACAATTCTACTAGCAGTCAGAAGGGCAGGGCTTTTTTTCCTTACAACCAAATCAGAGAGATATTAGGAACCAAGTCTAAATTTCTGGCCAATATATCTTCTTTGAAGACTATCAATGGCCATGACTTTACACAACTGAGTTTGGCACCAAACTAAACCTCACAGAATTCCCCAAGTTTATTACAATTTACTCTCCATGACATAATAGCAGGAAGCAACTGGTAGGCTGCTATCACTACTTTTCCCCTTTCTGTGCCTCTACACCACTGAGAAATTTGAGGGTTTAAGAGAATACAGATCATATCTATGTGTATATAAAAAAACTAGTTTAAAATAACAAGTCACTGAATCAGTGTTACACAACTAAATTGTAAGCAAGCAGTAAACATATGTACATAACTGAAGGTACGTAGCCATGGCACTAAGCAGCACTTTCTGTTCACAGCTGCTAACCCTCACCTCAATTCAGGAAGAAAGCTTCTTAACACACCTTCCTTCACCCAGAGACATGTCTTTCCCCAGATTTGAAGGAGGAGTGGTTTCAGGTGTCACAATCCTGTTTCCCTATCTTGGCATTCTCTTTGAATAGGCAAATCAAAAAGAATCAGTTAAGTCTGAAAAATTTAAGTGCACTGTGTTCCTCTAAAAGCCTGAGTAGACTGACTTGGAAGGGCTGGAATTATTTACCTATGTTAACTTCCAGGACTAACATTTATATAGAGTGCACTTAAAACTTAGAGTCTTTGTATTTCATGGGTGAGGACCTAGTTACTTTAACAACCCTATCTACCTTGATGAATGAAAAAAAAAACCAAACAAACCTGAGAACTGGTCCTGTATTCTTAAAGGGTAAGAGCTGAAATGTTTGCACATTTGATGCAAACTAGACTGCTTTATATTTTATATATTTATATTTTAACACTATAGAAACAAAGTCTGTTTCTATAGGGCAGACTAAGACATATATATATAATACAGAATTATCTGACTAAACTTGTCTTCCCCTACAAAATCCATACTTTCCACACATACAGATTTCAAAGCTGAATCATGACTCAGCCACCCTGGTTAATAGCTTTTCTCTCACTAAACTGACAGTTAAGGCAAGCATCTTTAAATTCGTGAGACAAAAGTAATCGGGTAACTCCAATAAAATGGTAAGAATGAAAAACAGGAAAAATAGTAGAACTGGGAATTTAAAATTGATCTTCTTTACATTTACCTCAGTGCTTTAGTTCAGGACAAACTTTTCCCCTCACCACTAATTGCAGTTATTCTGAGATACTATCTCTGTCTACTGCTTTTTTGCCTCCTTATGACAGATACAAGTAGTGTGCCTTAACAAGAGTAATACCGCTTCTATTACCTGTATTGATTTAATCAAGAGTGATTGAAACTCCTATTTTAGAAAGTAAAAATCACAAAGGGGAACATGTATTTTGGCCATGTTTTCCCTAGTAGGGCAGCACAAACATAGAAGGATTAAAATGGGAAAATGAACTCTAGTTTTGGCTGCGATTGAGTTAATTTTCTTCATACTGGCTACTATGGGGCTATTGTCTGGATTTGTGCTGGAAACAGCACAAACACACAGATATTTCAGCTATCCCTTACACACAGCCTTTTCTGCCTCTCACACCGCCCAGCCAGCAAATAGGCTGGGAGGGGACACAGGCAGGACAGCTGACTCCGGCTGACCAAAGGAATATTCCAGACCATTACACTCAGCACATGAAGTTGAGAGAAGAAGGGGGTGATGGCCTTTATCTTCCCAAGTAACAATTAGGCACAATAGAGCACGACTTTCCTGGGGATGACTGAACATCTGTCTGCCCATGGAGCATGGTGAAAAGACAAATTTTGGTTTGCTTGTATGAGCAGCTTTTGCTTTATTAATAACTGGTCTTTACTTCAACCCGAAAGTTTTCCCAATTTACTCTTAGGATTCTCTCCTCCATCCCACTAGAGGGGTGGGAAGGAGGGTGGGAGAGGCCAAGTAAGTGGCTTTGTGGTGCTGAGCTGCAGGCTAGTACTAAACCATCAAAAAGTCCTGAAAATTTAACTGTACAAACATACCCAACTCATGAACAGAGACAGGAATAACTAATTTTCTATACCATCACCTCTTTCAGCATTTAGTTCTCTTACTTCAAGTCTATCTTAAGATAATGGCAACAAGGCTTGAGCAGCATTAGAACAACTCATAGCCTTAGTTTCAACCTAAGAGAAAACTATGCTCTCTGTATAGATGCTCTCTCATCTTTTATGATTTTAGGGGGAACAACACTGTACTTCTGCAAACTGAGAAGAAAACTCCAAAGTTATTAAAAACTTTATAAATCTAAAGAACACACAAAGCTCTAATACAATAATCATTATGGACCTGTCAGGCATATATCAAACAAACTCTTGTCAAACCAACTTCTTCCACTCTTTGAAAATAAAAATTTGACAAAGTAACTGCACAAACATAAGGCACATGATATTAAAAACCAATCAATTAAAAGGAACATGAAAATACAATACTTTATCTACTATTAAAGCTGATTAAATGTTTTGAAAGTAGCAATTAGCAAAAATTATTAATCATTGCAAATCTGTCCTCATAAATTAGTAATACTGGAAGGAAAACCAAGCAATAATACTAGAGAGAAAACTGCAAATGACTGTTTATACAGTAGCTATTCTAACAAAGTAGTCTAGTAATCATTTGCTACAACTAGAAAAGTAAAAACAATATTAAGTTTAGTCACACTTTTTTTGAAAAATTACAGTTCAGAGCTGCATTACAGGTTAAACACACTCAGCTGGCAGAAGAGAGAAAAACAGCCCACAGACATTACAAAAGTTACATGCCTGGGGCAGACATCCTACCTCTTCATTTGAGAGGCTACAGGGCACCATGTTCCAAGTCCATTAATTTCTCCCTACTTGCAAAAAGGAGTTATTCACTCTCCTTTACTGTAAGCATAAATTATTTAGGTTTTTTTCCTTGCAGTTCTGGTAGAATCCCTAGTTTCCTGCTGGTTTCATCCTATTTTCCAGAAAGAAGAGGAATTTCCTAAATTCCTATAATCCCCCCACTGGCCAAAGACTTGCATTATATAGCAAGTCTTTCAAACAGCTAATCTTGTGTTTACATCTATTGAAACCTGCTGTTTTCTGTGTGTCCCAGGTCCCATGGATAAAAAGCTGCTGTCTCCTGCCCTATGCTAACAGTTTACATGCAGGCTCTCCTCAATGACTACTGTCGTGCATTACTGCAGAGTAAGAGCCTGCATCTGGGCAGTCACTACAGAGCAATTATGCAGGGCCACTGCCATCTGCAGCCAATTCGACAGATGAACTTCAAACAGCCCTTCTGCTGCCAGAGCAGGTCCCTGTATGCAAGAAGACAGGTATGTGGATATTTTCTCATTTAAAAGGAATAAATCAATTAATCATTTCATTATTAAGTAATGTTCTGTGTACTAAATAAGAGACTAACTGAAAAAGGTTCTTTTTTCTAGTAAGATTCTCTTGAGGTAAGACTACAAAAACTGAATTAAGACTGCACAAACACCCCCAGATTTATGATTTTTTTGCTTTTTAAATCATGACTGAACAATCTTGAACACTTCAAGTTGATTGCAGCTTTCCTCCTTTCCTGAATGTGTTCAGAGAACACAGTTTAAAGACAGGAGACAAAGCCTCACACACTTTCTGCCTGTGCTCCATTCCTTAGACACTGACCAGCAAGGTTCACAACAGCAATCACCTTCACTCTAGAATGGAGGATGCTCTCTGCCACTAGCAATTTGATTTCACTCCCCTGAATATATACCAAACTGAACACAATCTTTTTTAGTAAATTCTCTTAATAAAGCAACTTCTGACCAAAAGAGTTAAAAGTATCTGATGAAAGGAATGGGAAGTTGTGGTCTTGTAAGAGGTTACAAGTTCTATTAATTTTTATTTTTTTTTTAATCTTTGCAAAACAACTTTTCCCATTGTTCTCTAAACATGCCTAAGTTTTTAACAATTCAGCCTGAGGAAGACATTTGGCATGGAATGTGTCAAACCGTAAGAATTCAGCACAACTAGTAGCACATGGAAATAGAAATTCTTAATAGAAAATGTCAGGCATCTTTAACAAAAGATATTGCCATAAGGGACAGAGAATTTTTGCAGCAAGGCTGCTGCACTTAGAAGAAAAAAATTAAGCAACTAACAAAAAAAGCCTCCCTAGTCCTGTTGTGGCTCAGTTGAAATCCCATTAATACAGAGGCACAAGTGGGGAAAGTGAAATACAACTAGAATTTAAAAAAAGAAAGGAGTAACATTATTCCTGTTCAGAGAAAACATTAGATAGAAGTTTACAGAAACCTAAATCCAGTAGCAACCTTATCTCAGTCTTTATAGGTAAACAGCATGTTTTCTACTAACTGTTGGAGATAAGACCTAGAAGATAAGGAACTAAAGGCCTTTATCTTAAGAATCTGAAGAATATCATACTTGTAACCATTTCCACTTACTTGCTTTTAACACTCAAACATTACAGCACTGTAACTTTAAATATACAGTCTGAAAAAAAACCCCTCAAAGAACTGAGTTCTACTTACTGAAAATAGGAATGCAACCACAGCTGTTTCTGGGCTGTCTGTATACTGTACGGAAGCGAGCCACCAGCTTAAGGAAAAAAATAGAACATGTACATTTATTTTTTGAAAGACATTCTAAAAGCAGCAAGCATCTTGGGGAATAAGCTATCTGCCCTACCTTCATGAGTTACTTTCAGGAAATTGTTAAATGCTCCAGTAGTATAAAATGGTATATACTTGCTTGTTTTTTTGCCATTTTCTTATAATTTAGCAAGTTCCTAAATGCTACATAGCACATTTACACTAGGAAAAACAGAACATGTATATAGGGAGAACTACGGGTGTTTTTTTAATATTTTAATTGATAGCAAGAGATTGGAATCACTACCCATACAAACTAGAAGAAATAAACCATACAGCTTTCAGAAGAAATAAACCTTCCAAATCCCAAACAACATTATTTTAAAAAGCAAGAACTTCTATGATGAAATTATATTTGTATTGATTTGGCCTTTGGCTAATGCACATTGTGATTTCTTGAAATGGATTTAAGAAGAATCAGTCAGGCATACTGAATTATATTACTATTGTGTAGTGAAAGCATGATGCAAAGCCTGCTGTATTCAACATGTCCTAAAAGACACCATAAGAACCTATTACAAAAGCTTTACTACTCTCAGAAATGTACTAACTGCAGGGCTCCACAGAACTATTCAGAATTTACAGTAAGAAGTCACTGGGCTGTAGATAACAAGTTGCATTTAAAGACACCATAACTTAATTCTGGGAACCACAGGTACCTATAAATTCTCTGGCTGCAATTTCTACATATGTCCAAACACTAACCAGGGGAAAGACAAAAACTTCTGAAAACATTCATGTTCAAAATTCACCAGCTGCTCGAATTCAAAAGCTACTCTTGTCTGGCATAGGAGCATAGGTAGCCAGCTTGGAACAGGAACACTTTTAATGATTTCAGAAAGCCAAAATCGTTGAAGTTGAAAGCACCCTCTGGAGATCATCTAGAATAACTCCATGCTCAAAGCAGGGCTGAACAGAGCACACTGTTCAGTACAATGTATTAGGTTTTGAGCATCCTCAAAAACAGACTCTACAGCCTCTATGAGCAATCTATTTCATTTAAACATCAGAAAACAATTTTGCTGTAAGGATAAATTGAGATTCAGGAGATTCTCATATACATATACCTTTTCTTCTTTCCCTGGTCATCATGCAAAACATCTGCCTCTACTTTGCATCTTTCCATAATTTATATTTATATACACTGATTGGATTTCCCGGGAAAGCATTTTTCTCCAAGTTCCAAGAACTGTCTAGCTCTCTCAGCCTCTCCTTCTATGACAGATGCTCCAATCTCTTATTCATCTTTGTGGCTTTCTGCAGTACTTTGGTTCAGTACATCCATATCTGTATTGTACGGCAAAGACAACAACTGGACACAGCATTCCAGAAGTGGTATCACCAGTGCCAAACAGAGAGCATAGATCACTTCCTGGCAATGTACATCCTAACACAGCCCAGGATTCTGCTGGCCTTCTTGTTACAAGGGTGCATTGCTGGTTCATCTTTAGCTTAGTGACCATCAGCACACCCTGGTCTTTTCCTGCAAAGCTGTTCACCTCTGGTTAACCCCCAGGGCACACTCATGCCTGGGGTTATTCTTGCCCCAGCTCACTGCTTTGCACTGCCTGAGGTTGCACTGGAAGAGGCTGCTGTCTGCCCATTTCTCCAGCCTGCACAGCTCCTCTGACTGACTGCACGATCATCCAATGTATCAACTGCTCCTCCCCAGTCTGCATCACTTGGAAACTCCCTACAGGTGTACTCTGCCCCACCATCCAGGTCTCTGATGAAGACACTAACGCATGACCCCAGTACCAGTGCTTGGCACATGCCAACACTAGTGGCTGACCTGCTGGCCTTTGTGCCAACACTCACAGTATCTGAGACCTGGCAGCTCAGCCAGCTTCTAATCTGCCCCACTTTCCACTTATCCAGCCTGTACTTAATCACATCATTGTAATGATGTTAGAGAAGACAGTGGTTAAAGACAAAGGTAAGCTAAACAACATCTAGGGACACTCCTCGTTCATCAAGCCACTTATAGAATGCCAATTAGACAAAATTTCTCCTTTAAAAATCTATGTTGACTACTCTGGGCCACCTTTTTTCCATCATATGTTTGGAAAGATTTCCAGGGTTCCTTGGTGGCTGTCAGGCCTATGAGTCCCCAGATCCTTCTTCTTATCCTTCCTACAGACAGGAAAGAATTCTTTTCTTTCAGTCCTCATGAATCTCTTCCAGTTGCCTTGATCTTTTCAAGACTTGTTTTTGAGTAACAGAAGCTTCCCTGTATCAGAATACTGCAGGTACCCATTGCTGTTTCAGGTTGGCTGGGGCTATGCTTTTACAAATGACTTAATGAAAATAAACATGGGAATAATGAACACAGCAGTTGTGCATTACCAATAACACCCTAGTCTCCATTGTACCTGATGTGCAGAATGACATTACAATCAAAACAGAAGGAAAACTTGACACACTCAAACCTGAATTTTCTGCCAAAACGTATCTGGAGTAAGAGCAGTGGGCAAGAGCTGTTGTTTTCCTACACAGTGATATATGAACATTACAGGACAGACAAACATTACATACCAATGCCCACAAAATCTTTTCTATTCAATCACAACAGGAGAGCAGGAGTCAGAGCTCCAGGAAAAGATTCTACTGCCACCTATTCTATCACATTCTCAGCAAGATGAGAACTTCATGTCCATTTAACATCAACCACTGAACTGATTTTGCAGGACATTATGACCACAAAAAGCAAATAAATGGTATCCATCAGCTTACCAGGATAGCCTTCTAGACTTTGTCTCACATTGTTCACAGTAGGATAAACCTTCATGGAGGTAGAACAAAAAGTAACTTTAATAACACAGGTCTAAATAGACAAGCTGTCAATTTTCAAACAAGCACCTTAAAGAAAACTTGAGAAAAAATAAATATTAAAAGCTTCATTTTCAGAATTAATAAATTTACACTGCAGCTTACAACAACTACAATTGTGCCAGTAACATGGAAAGTCTAATATTTTTACTATTACAGATTTAACCAAAATTAGCTAGCAAGTCTTAAGTAATACTGCTTCAGCCACTTCCACAGTAGCCAAAGATAGCTCTTAACACTATTTTATGAGATTAGTCTCATACCTCAAATATGAGAAATAAATACATAGGGGCAATTAGCACATGATAAAGGCATGGTTTGGCCATCACTTTCCCTTGATTTAACAAGCTCCTGCCACACATTTTTCTGCTCCTCCGCTTAATTGTGCTAATAACCAAAGGTATTAGTGAGTACAGGTTCGGTTATGTCTCAGTATGAAAAACAGCTGCATCTACAAAACCAAATGGAAGACAAGCTATAGAATGAGAAGAAAATTTTGATGAGATGATACATAATCCAGTGTCATGAAGATGGAAATTATGGTACATTTTTATAGCAAACCATACACAATTAAATGGCATTAAGTGGCATATATATAAAATTTCACGATGAAAACTCCATTACTGTCTTCCAAAAGTTAAAAGCAAACCAATGACTAAGATTTCCAAAACAAATGAGTAAGTGTTAAATAAAGGTCACCAGCATCTAAAAGACATACCAAATGAATTGGGACATCACATTTGCGGAAAGTTGTCACACCGCTGCCTGCAGCCACCAGGCTCTCCTGGAACTCTGAGCACAGCCATTTGGACCCATCAGCTCCCATTGAACCGATGCTTGAGAACTGTCCAACAAGAGGCCAAGATTCCTGTGCTGGAATTGACAAAGCATGCTCCTTCAAAAGCTGGTGAGGGGAATTAAAACACTGTTAGACTTCAACACCTAAAGAACACCTTAATCAGTTTGATATCACTTTTGGTATAATAAATCCTTTATAATTCACTTCTGACAATGGAGATTAACATTCATACTACATATTTAACTTTGCAATAAAAAAAATCATCAGGCTTTCCAAATTAACTCACTTCAAGAGAAGATTAAACATCACAAGTTTTATCCAAAAAGCACCTAAGCCAACCATTAAATAATGGGTGAAAAGAATGTTAGCAGCTCTTTCTAAAGACATGAAACATTAACTTCAGAAGTCACAATAAATAAAACAACTAAATATTTTTTATATTTGGTGTTTGTTTGCCATAAAATTCCTCTTGTATCCTAAAAGCCATGACACCCAGCTGCAATAGAGCCTACAATAATAGGGGAAATAAAGAACAATTAAAGAGAAAACTGAAGTGATCCTTTTAGAGGAGTTCTTCAGCTGTGAGTGGAATTTAAAGTCAGATTAAAAACAGATGGATATAGACAGATATTAAATTGTATGTAGTTGCCACCTTTACCCCAGTCTAGAGAAAACACACAATCTAATGGCTTCAGTCATCAACGTAGTATCATCAGGTCTATCTGCATTGCAACGTAGTATCATCAGGTCTATCTGCATTGTCACTAAAAACCTTTTTAAATTACAGAGACATCTGCCACAAGATCATCTTTCTCCCTTACAAACTTTGTTTTATTTTTTCTTCATTCTATGTAGGCAAAAACCATCAGACAACGTGTACCAGAAAGGACAAACTCTCAATAAGCAAAGAGATGTCTGTTACAAACTCTCAATAAGCAAAGAGATGTCTGTTAAGAGTCACCTCATGTTGAAAAATAATGTGATACAAATATTCTGTATGTCACATAAGTTTGCCACAGATAGCATTAGAATTTCGTATAAAATTCATGACAGTATTTGAAATAATGCCACTTCAGCAGGAGGTAGAGGTTAAAAATTCTCCAATTATGAGAAGCATTTAATGACATGAAATATGATGATGACATGAAATAACTCATCAAATTGTGAAAAAAAAAAAAGAAAAAGAAAAAAAAAGGTCCAAACCAAACAAGCAAACAAGAAGGGTCCCTACATATATTCAATCATATCATAATCAATTCATATATGCAATCTTGAAGATTTACCATTATGGCTTACCAAAATAAACGTAAGACCTTTAAAGGCAAGAGACTTCAACTATTAACATAATATTGTCATATTCACCTCATACCATATCCCTAGGTGTCACACCTACACATCTGTTAAGTATCTTCAAGGATGGTGACTCCACCATTTCCCCGGGCAGCCTGTTTTCATACCTGACAGACTTTAAAGGAATTTTTCTTAATATCCAAACTGTACCTCCCATGGCACAGCTTGAGGTGATTTCCTCCTGTCCCATCACTTGTTACTGGGGAGAAGAAACAAACCCCTGCTCAGCTATAACCTCCTTTCAAGCAGCTGTAGAGAGCAATAAAGTCTTCCTGAGCCCTTTTTTTTCTCCAGGCTGAACACCTCAAAGTCCCCAAACTGCTTCTCATCAGAACCATGCTCCAGACCCTTTGTCAGCTCTGCTGCTCTTCTCTGGACACACTCCAGCACCTCAATGTCTTTCTTGTCACAAGGGGCACAAAACTAGGCACAAAACTTGAGGTGTGGCCTCACCAGTGCTGAGTACAGAGGGAAAATCACTGCCCTGGTCCTACTGGCCATGCTACTGCTGACACTGGCCAGGGTGCCATTGGCCCTCTTGGCCACACACTGCCTCATGTCCAGCTGTTGCCAACCAGCACCTCCAGGTCTTTTTCCACCAGACAGCTTTCCAGCCACTCTGCCCCCAGCCTGTAGTGCTGCATGGGGTTGCTGTGGTTCACATGTAGCACCTGGCACATGGTCTTGTTGAATCTCACACAGTTGGTCTCCACTCATCGATCCAACCTGCCCAGATCCCTCTGTAGAACCTTCCTACCCTCCAGCAGACCAACACTCCTCCAACTTGATGGGCTCAATAAGGAGCCCTGGGGAGCACCACCTGTGACTGTCTGTCAGCTGGATGTAACTCCATCCATCACTCTGAGATCAGCCATCCAGCCAATTTTCTACCCAGCAATGAGTGCACCCATCCAGACCAGGAGCTGCCAGTTTCTCCAGAATTCTGTATGAAACTGTCCAAAGTTTTACTAATGTTCAGGTAGACAACACTGACATCCTTTCCCTCACCCACTAGCCTGTCATGGAAGGAGATCAGGTTAGCCAAGCAGGACCTGCCTTTCATACTCATACTGATTGGGCCTAATGACCTGGGTATCCAGTCAACTGGGACCTCCCCAGTCAGCCAGAACACCTGATAGATGACTGAAAGTGGCTCCGTGAGCACTTCTGCCATCTCCCTCAGTGGCTCCCATTTGGTCTCATGGACTTGTGTGCCGCATTTCACTGTTGCAGCAGGTTGTTGACTGGCTCCCCTTGGGTTACGGGGATTTCATTCCATTCTCTGTCCCTGTCTTCCAGCTTGGGGAGCTGGATAGATGGAGAACAGGTCCTGCTGTTAAAGACAGAGGCAAAGATGCACCTCAGCCTTTATTTCATCCTTTGTCACTATGTCTCCCCCTGCATCCAATAAATGATGGAGATTCTTATTAGTCTCCTTCTATTGTTAATGTACTTATAAAAACATTTATATTGCCCTTTTCATCAGTAGACAGGTTAAGTTCTAAGTTGCAAGCTTATACATGCTATTGCTAACTATAGCTGTAACAATGACTGATGATAACAGTTGGAATAATTGGAAGAATTTTCTCCAAAATACTTTTTACACTTTAAAGGATATTAACAAAAAAGTTTACAGTTTTGGTACCTTTCTGAGCCTAAGATGGCCCCATTTTTCTTTATCACTACCTTGATATCGTCCAGGGGTAGAACCAAGCAGATACACTCTAAAAAAAGAAGAAAAACAACAGATTTTTGTAGATCTTGAGTGCTGTGGTTTGTAAAGTAGCAAGGTATTTAAATAAAACTTACAAGTAATATTGAACACTCCAGTACAACCAGAAATATTTAATGTCTCTCATGGGATTTATAATACAAAGAAAAGTGGATTTTCAGCTGTACAATTTATTATCAGCATTCTATATGGCTGTCATCCATCACTAGGCTATTCTACAGCAGAGACAAGAACTACATCTTTTTCAGTGTATTAAAGTGCAGAAGATAGATAATGTTACCACAAACACACACAAATTACACCTAACTGGGCACATGATTTTGAGTAAAGCCAATCTACTGCTCCATCCAAATCAGCAGATTTAGGTGCGAGTTTTCATTTGGGCACCTAATAGTTCAGATGCAAAGTACAGCTTTTTCAACACTTCCTAATAAGGGGCTTAGTAGCCTATCTGACTTTGCCCTGTAAACAGGGAAGAGACCTGCTTAAAGTTACAATGAACAGATGCTTTAAGAAGCCGCTCCCTACTGCATACATCTCATGTCTAACTTTATCCACAGCTGAATGCCTCCTACAGCACATAAAATTGCAATCCTTACCCTAACAAGTGACTCTTAGCCCATGTATAAACTCCTATCAACTAGGGCTCAACTCATCTGTTTAAACTCATGTTGATGATCAATGCCAATCAGAGCAGCTGTTAGCTCACCTGATTATAAAATACATTTTTGTTTTACCCTCTTCAATCTTTTAAGACTCCTTGTTAAGATAAAAGCACTTTAATGTCTAAACTACACACGGTTTCAGTCTCTATTTCCACCACAGTATATGAACATTTTCAGCTCTTCTTTTCAACGATTTTTGTTCAGATTATAAAACAGCAATTAAGTTGCCAGGGAGATTTACACTTTCTGAATTAAATGCTCATATTTAAGTGGAACTACTTATTAGAAGTTAATTAAGCAGCCTGAATTATTTTTAAGTAATATCACCAATGTGTTATTAGAGGAGA